TAACCCTCTTTGCTTACCTTTATCTAACACTCACATCGATATAGAGCGAAATACGGACATGCTATATCGACTCACTACACCACTAACCGCTAGACAATTTACTTACGTTGGATATAAAAAATCACTAAAAACACACACTGCACCTAGAGCTAACGAATATACACTCGAATACTATGATCACAACATCATCAGAGCTAACCAAGATCAATTCTTAGACGACGATCGCTTCGCTAATCCACAAATTACTGAGAAATTTTTCATCAAGACACCATATATATTTACACTAAACATCTTCGACCGAAAGTTTGATCACATTATTTCAGAAGCACTAACAGACACACAAGCATACGAAAGTTTTAAAGAACGCTTCCAAATATTTTCACTAACCTTTCATTTCCTTGCACCACACGAAAGAGATTTACACTGCTCACACGATATTATGTTGCGCACTAAACAAACCCACACATACAGTTATTATCGCTTCATCCAAAATCACTTTGACCTACACACACCCTCTAGACAACCACACCATCGTTTTCATTTCATTAATTCCAAATACACTTCACCATTTTTCCTAAATTTCACATATTGTATTAAAGACACTAACCTCCATGGTATTCTTCGTAATTATGACCCCATAACCCAAATGTACATCTTCTGTCCCATCACCAAGACCTTCAACGCCGAAGAATCCCGACCCTTCCTTATCCCGCACGAGTTTGTACAACCTATAGAAATCCCAATTTTAGAATTCATCCACAACACTAAATTCAATCACAAATTATATAATCTAATCCAAAACACACCTTATGAGTTTGCAGTTGGCACTGAAGAACTAACCACTATCAAGGCACTCCAATTGCTTTGGCCACTGCTTCAGACTAAAAATATCATCCGCATCTTAGCTAAACTACTAACAACTTCAGAACTAATTCACGACATCTTCCCCCACGGTTTTTTCCCCGACGACTAACAGGTAAGTATGAATTAAATAAATATTACTAACTAATTAAAATATTAAAAAACTCACCATTCTTTATCCATGTTTTCTTTAGATTTTTAGCCTTCATCCGACAATCACCTACAAAGACCACAAAAGACAAATAAAAATCGCAAATTTCATCAAACAGATTTCAAAAATTCTATTAATCTCTTACACTTATAAATTTATAAATTTAATACCTATGCAGTAAATTCATTTCTAAAATTTTCCCCACAAGCAGTAAATCTAATTATGATGAAAATTTGTAACTTAAAATTCCCCCATAACTAGCAGTAAATTTCCAAATTCTATGCAGTAGATTAATAAAATGCAAATGCAGTACTAACCTTTTGATATTTTCATTCATTCGCACAGAAATTCTATCCACACTCGCACAGCTCGCCCACGAAGAATTGTTTAAAATAATGAATTTCAGTTTCAAGTTTTCACACTCAACAACTCTAACATATAATAACATGTTTCAAACTTTCCTTTAACCCGGTTGGAAAGGAATCATATATTAAACAAAACTAACCAACGCAGCTTACTAAATACCACAAATCATAGAATAACAGCATGACTAAGAAAAGGAAACCAACGGTACCCAAACCGGATTAACCCAGTTTAAAACTGGATAATTTATTCTTTTGAAGACTATTATAAAGTCTAAGAAAGAAATAATAAAACACAAAAAAGTCGAAAGACAAACCCATACCACGAACAATTTACTTTTTGGAAAAAGGACATAACCAACAAGACATAAGAAAAACCACAACAAACCCAACATAAAACGTTGTCACATAACAGGACCCCTCACAAAAACCGCATGAAATCATACTCCCACTCCTGGCCTAACCCACCAGGAAGGACGTCCTGAGCATGCTCTATAGCCGGCCTAACCCACCGCGCTACATCCACGCTTTGTGACCACACCTCTATTTTTAATAAGAGCTACTCAAGTGTGAGTAACTCTTCAAAATAACCGAACTAAAACAAAAAGCTTTTGTGAAAACAACTAACTAAAATCATAACTAAAAAATATTAAACTAATAAATGTTTTATAAAATGTAAATTACATTATGCAATACATAGATCAGAATACAACACCAAGAACGAACATCCAAAGACAAAACGACCCCACTACACTCGAGAGAGAATGACCAACCACAATCGATATGCCACTCACAATCACAACTCAAAGGATTTAGAGTACGACTTGACTTCGCAGAAAAGGACTTCATTGAACTAGACCAATGACCACCTCGATGTTCAAGTATACGTACAGATCCGAGTAACCAGGCATCCCCTCCACGCACAATCTCCACGCCATTCCCAAATTAGATCAGACACAAAAGAAGTTCTCCACGCAGAACAGAAAAACCTGACATAGCAAACCATTCTGAAATCAGATTTGAGTTTGTTGCAAAGACTTAGTCGTTGTCACTAGAAGACACAACGTCTTATGTCTCTAACTCCAGCTTCCTGGAACTTCTTTAACAAAAAAGGAAACAGAAGAAATAAGATGTTCGCCAAACACCAACGTCCATCATCCATCCTTCGAATTGCAGAAGAACTATTCTAAAAAACTCTGTAAAACCCGGATGGGTGGAACCTGATCTAAACTATATTTTATGATTGGATAAATTAAATGTTTTACCAATGTAAAGTATTTAATATTAACCAATCACGATCCATCTAACTAACAACCCACTTATTTGTAAGTGCTGAAGTTACTTGTAATTTCAGCACCAGAGAGATTTGAATTTAACTTAGAAATTAGTTGGACTCTACCGAGCACTTCAGCAGCCGCAATAAACCAGTATACCCTAGATCTATTGAGCCTAGCAGAGACTAGTTAAACAACCTGAGACTAGATAGTATAAGAGTAAGATTAGGATCGGTATTAGACTAAGAAGTTGCACGAATCTATCCGGCCGAAAATAAGATAGCGTGACGAGCAGACGGTGTACCCTATCCGAAATTACTCTATGAGTTAACCAACTCGAACCTAACTCAGTGGGTGGTAAAATTTTAGATTCAGAACTTCATAGCTCAAATTTTTTTAAAGCTTAATGGGAGTCGACCCAAATTATGTCTTATTTGCCGCTCTTTAAAGGCTTCCCTCTGTTTTTGAGGCTGTTTGAAAAATGAACCTTTTTTTTAAATGAAGTGTTTTTTGACATATTCCAAGAAAAGTTTTAGAATTCCTTTTTTCTATTCGCAATCTTGTAATGCAATGTTTTGTAATGCAAATGTGCCAATCATAAATTGTTCTTGAAATTCAAATTCAGGAAAATTTGTTCACGCTATAATTTTTGTTTTTGAGGCTTGAGTTTGGTTTCTTTTCAAGTTTACTTCATTTCATTTGTTTAAAGGAAGGCAAACTCAACTATCGAACAGCGAAAGTAAGAAGGTCACGAAAAACGTGATCGACTTCTAATTTCCTAAGTTGAATTTAATTTAGGATTTCCCAGTGGAAACAAAAACTTACCTTTTGATCCAGTTTTCTCAAATTGGGTAACTTTAATCAAAAAATTTGTCGATCATAAATTGTTCTTGAAATTAGAAGAGCTTTAAGGCCAACTTTTTTTTTTGAATTTCGAAAGTTGAAGGTTTTTCTCGAAACAAGTCAGTTTTTTTTCCTGTTTCTTAGCGTTCATGACTCTTTTCCAACTGTCTGTTGGCGATGATCTAATGCTGGTAGTTATGGTTCTTGGCTGTTTTTCCTCATTGAATAAAAAAACTAAATTCCTTTCTTTTTCTCCTTTTAGGCTGCGCTTTGTTTGTATTGCAAGTGATGCAACGCTCATTTTCGCCTTTGTGTTAAATGTTATCTAAACAAAATTTTTAGTTTAATCAAAACTTTTAGCAACTTGAAATTGATTACACTAGCCAGCTTGTGAGCAAAGTGTATTAGTATGGAACTTCTTTTTTTTCTAACCTAACTCGCAAATAAAAGTGTTCATTAAAAATGTTCACTTATTTGGAGGCACTTTTGCTATAATCACGATCTGTTGTAGCATTGGCAATTTCGTAGCATCTGTTCTCTGCTTTTTTTTGTGGCTTGAGTTTGTGTTTTTTTTAGCGCCCGTGGCTGAGTGGTTTGTGAGTGAGACTCATAATCTCTAGGTCGCAGAGCGAATACGGGTTGTAGCCGATTTTTTTTACTAATTCGAGGCTTATTTCTTCTTTTTTATCGTGTTTGCGAAGCGCAGCTTAGCGTGTGTAATGATTAGCTTTATGTGAAATGGATCACGCGAAATGGAATTTTTGCATAGACCAATTTCAAATTATCACAGCTTCCCTTTATGAAATTATCAATATTGGTTTTGAAAGAGTTTCCAATTTAATCCAGGTCTAAAAAGACTTTCCCGCCTGCAATTGTTCTCAAACCGCGTAAAAATGTTAGATACAGCCAAGTGTAATCAATTTTTCACACTAATTAACTCAGTTTTTCGCGTCGCAATATCCGCTTACTCTAGAAAGAATTCTGTCCGATGCAAAGCTTAGTGAAGACGTTAAAACCAAATATCGGTATGTTCATAGAGGATAGCTCTGATCACTTGATCTTGGTCTATGTAAAAGTTTTGCTGACGTTCGATTTAATTTTGTCCATAATTTACATTGAAAATATGCATTTCAGAGGGTAAAAACACGAATTTGCCTTGATTTTTGTCTACTAGCGTACAAATAACACTTATATTTTGAAAAACATCTTTTTAGTAGTCGAAACTCATAATACAAAATTATACGAACCTGTATTAACATATTTTTGCATTAAACCCCTGCTGAAGAACCGTTCCTCTGGCCATTAGAAGAAGCTTTCCTAATTAACGTCCGGGTATATCCCCTTCCATAACACCTACGTAAACCGAATAGACAAAATGTTCTCACTCAGCTTCCACGCATACGGATTTAAGTACACCTTTTTAAGTGTTTCCCCAAGGAATGGGAGGGCAGAGAGGGGGGGGGGGTCGGGGCAATTGCGCACCTGTAAAGCTTTCTTTTATGGGTGTAGGTTGAGAAGAGTGTGGTGGATTTCCACGCGGGCAATCTGGAGTTCGCGTGTGGATCCCGTCTGGATGAGGTTTGTGCTGTGAACTGGGACCAGAATGACCAGTTTCCTCAGTTCGCAGGTGGACACTGCTCGCTTCCCAGTGGATACTACCCCATTGTGGAGGCACTGGCCAGGGATCTGGACATCACCACCAAATGTGCAGTGAGTAGAAACAAAAACACAGACTACTTTGACTTCGGGGCTGTTCACATGCAGGAAAGACTGAATGCGCTAAAATTCGCATCCAATCAAAGCCCCTGCAAAAACGGACTGATTTTATTGATTATTTCTTCCTTCGAATTTACGAATGATGAGTTTTGATTGGCTGACAATATTTTCGCGCCTTCGATACTTCGCGATCGACGGATTCCCCCTTTGACTGTATTTAGGATCAATAAAAGTTACATGCATGGGTTTCTGTCTTAACTTGAACCAATTTTTTTTTGTGTTTAAATCAGTTACGAAATGATTTTCATCTGTTAGTTTTTTATTTCAGACTGCTGTTGAATGGAACTTTGTTTGAATGGAACAGACAACATTTAAATTGCAAATTTTTTCAGAAAAATCACAGCAAAACTAATTAACCCATAATTCATCTAACAAATAGAAGAATGAGTAATTTCTCGTGGTTATTTATATTTCGTTTAGGTTAATTAACAAAACATACATCAGTAACAAAGAGCGGGGCTCTTTTTCCTTTTCCCCCCACCTCACTCAAACATGAGTTTTATTGTCTAACGAGCGGTCTTACAAGGTTAGTTATGGAGACCAAATATGTTTGCCATGGCCTAATTAGTCTACATGACAATTTTCATGACAATTGGACAAAGTGAACAGTAACTTCAAATATAAAAATTTGCAGGTGGGGGAAAAGGAAAAAGAGCCAAGAGCGGATGGTTAACGAACCCGTAAGGGTTGTCAAGTGCTTGCGATTAGCAAACCTTATCAAACTGGAATATATATTTTTTTCGGGTTAACAACTAGTTTAAAAGAATCACTTGATCATTTGATTGCTTGCTTTATGAATTAGGTCATTTTTCCTGAAATTGTGGGTCCAGTAGTGTGGTGGTAAAGAGCGGGGTTGTGTCGCGAAGGATCAAATGATCGAATCCGTGACCATGCCAGTCGATGAACGTAGTTAAGACTCTTATGTAGGTCGCGATTATTTTTTTCCTTTTTTCTCGGCATATTTTTTCTCGAAATTAACATCATTCGAGGCAGACGCAGGAGAAACTTGGTAACTCAAGTTTTTTCAAAACTTTTCGGCACTTGTATAAGTTCAAATTCAATCAACCATCCCAGTGCATGAGGTAACCCAACTGCTTCAAACCGCAAAGGGTTGCGGTTTGAATCCGGCCGGTACCTGTTTTTTCGCAAACTTGAATTTTTGTCCTTTTTCGGCCTATCGTCGGTCTGTTTAATTTTGTCGGCTTAGTTTCTGTAGTCCAGTCGATATCGATTCCAGTCGAGACCTGTTTTTTTTTGCGAAAAGAATATTTTCGGCTTATTTAGATTATTGTCGTTCTGCTTATTTTTGTCGGCTTAGTTCTAATTTTTTTTGAATATTTAGTTTCTTTCTAGCATTCCGAAAGGTCTCTGTAAAGGCAATTATCCGGATTTTTTTGGCTTTTGTTGCAAAATTTTCTTTACAGCCACATTTTTTTTGATTTTTTTGGATATTTTCCGCTTGATTTAAATCATAGTCTTTCAAGTTTATATCGCAAGTGGTGCAAAGCTCGGCTTCGCCTTAGTGTAAAAAATGGAATTATAATGTATAAAAAAAATTTATGCAGAAAAAACTCGAAAACTCGCTTTGTCATAGGCACCTCTAACCAGTTTCATAACACAAACATGAACAAATAAAACGGTTAAATCATCTCTTCTAGACCTTGAAGACAATTTAGACAAATTTATTCGCCAAAGTTTGTTCCATTTTTCTTATTGTTTTTGAAATCTTTCTTGATATTGATGACTTACGACTGTATGAGCTTGTCGTTCAAAAGTCGACTGTTCTTTTTTTCTCGCATGAAGTGTTCTAGACATGGATGACATGTGTTTTTTAAGGTTCGTTCGATAGACTACTCATTGTCAGACAAGGTCATTGTGACAACAGAGGACGAAACAGTCTATGAAGCTGACAAGGTCATAGTTGCAGTTCCACTGACAGTGCTGAAGCGAAACTCAATCCACTTCGTCCCACCCCTCCCCTCATACAAAAGGAAGTCTATCAGGAGACTAGGGGCGGGGGTGGTGGAGAAGGTAGCCCTCTGGTTTCCCACTCGCTTCTGGGAGCGGAAGATCAAGCCCAACCAGGACTACTTTGGCCACGTGCCGCAGTCTCAGGAACAAAGAGGCCTTTTCAACATTTTCTACATCCTAAATCCAGTGAGTGTTTGATCTTGCACAAACCAGCTAGCGAGCGTAGTGTTATATTACGAAGTCGACTTTTTTTAAGTTTAAAAGAACCAAGTATCGTTCCTCATAGAGGTTGTGACTCAAAATTGATTTTGATGTCGCGAAAATCATGAATAACGTTAATTTTCTGAATTTCCAGCGGAGTAAAAAATGAGCTATTGTTTGAGTCTGCTTTAAATGGGATAACATAAAAAAAATGGTGAATGACTACAAGACGGGTTTTTCAGACGATGAATATATTAGGCAAATAAGAGAGACAATAGAGCAAACAGAGCAGATGCAAGGCATTCAGTTGAAAAAACAACTGGCAAGTGTTGAATCACTCTATTTCAGCAGTGAGTCTTTTTTCGTTCGATTTAAGGGCACGCAAGTTGTGAAGCAGATAATCGTACACCACCGAGTTCGTTTAATTACTCGCTAAAACTCCTTCATTTTGTTTGTTTTTCTTGTTACTAAGTTCACTGCCTTGAGTAGACCCGTATCCTTGTCATTCAATCAAAAATGTGATAATCATGAAACTCTCGAAGTTCCAAGGTTTTAAACTTGAAATTAAAGTTGTTTTCTTCGAAAGTTGAAAAAGGTTCCACGATTTTTTTTACGATTTTTTTTTTGCATTCTGTAAGCGTGAGTGAAAAAATTGTGAAGGACAAAAAACTAAAAATTTGAATTTGAGGACAGGTGCGATTCCCGTAGAAATTGTCTTTGTTTCTAAATTCAGTAATGTTTTCATTCTTTTCAAAATTGCGTCAATCAGAAATTGTTTAAGATGTTCAAAGAGCTTAAAATATATCTAGTTTTTTTGCAAAAAAAAACAATTAAGTTTTTCCTGTTTACTTGCTTTCATTACTCTTTCCATTTGTCACCTGGCAATGTTTTTTTTGTGAATACTGCAACAGACATTTTGAGCGCATGTTAGCATTTTAAATATCCGTCGTTTGATGAGCTTAAAAAATCTTGTGTGCGTCTATTGAAAAGGTTGGGGCTTTAACAAAACTTTTTTTAGTTTGTCTTTAAAAAAAAATGCGGCCTTAAGGGTTTCTGCTCAGGTATTTTTGGCTTTGTTACCGCTTGCATAGTTTTCGTCTGATGTTTATTTAATCTGCTATTGTATTGATACGTTTTTTCGGAAATTGTATTGTTCATTTTAATACATCTTGTTTTTGACATTTTTGAATGTTTTTTTTTGATATAGCGGCTTTTTTGCTTTGTATTGCAAGTGTTGTTTTTTTTTGTTTTTCATTTTCTTCTCATTCTAAAACGATTTTTACTCTAAAGGACTACCCATATTACTCTGAAAAACTTTGAGTCACAATATAACAATCATAATGAAGATTTTACTTTTTTATCTGGTCACAAAAGTTCGGAGAAAAGATCCGTGTTTTCCCTTTTTTTCAACAAAAGATTGATTTTATGTGTTCTTAGATTGGCAATTTAGCTTTCAATGTTTTCTAAGCGTAATAGAGAAAAGATTGACTGTGGTCAGTCGTGAAAATGATTTTCATAAAAATATGAAAATTGCTGCGTTTTTTCAGTTCTATTTATCTATCTATATATTCTAAATTTTCTATATAAATAAACATTGGCATATTTTCATTCTCGTGAGGCACAATATTTAAGAAGAATCACAGAGAACAATTTTTAATAGGCGTTTAGGCAATAACTTTTTTTAATTTTCAAAAATTCTTATTTAAGAAGAATCACAGAAAACAATTTTTACTCCAATTTTTAATAGGCGTTTAGGCAATAACTTTTTTTAATTTTCAAAAATTCTTACTCGGTTCAACTAAAAGACTCGACAATACTTGTCCAAGTTTTGTCCAAATGTTTGGAGTTTGAGTACTAAAAGCACGTATACTCCAATTTATCAGTGACTACTATTTGCATTCTGTAAGCGTCAGTGAAAAAATTGTGTATGACAAAAAACCTAAAAGTTTGAATGTTTGAGGACAGGTTTGATTCCCGTAGAAGTCGTTTATGTTTTTAAATCCATTAATATTTTTAAATCCATTAATATTTTTATTCTTATCAAAATTGTAACAATCATTAATTGTTCTTGTTGTTCAATGAGTTTAAGGTACATCTAATTTTTTACTTGAAGTTCGAAGGTTGAGATTTAAAAAAAAACAATTAATTTTTTCCTGTTTCCTTGCTTTCATTACTCTTTCCATTTGTCAGCTGGCAATGTTTGTTTTTTTTTGAATACTGCAACAGACAAATTGAGAGCATGTTAGCATTTTAAATATCCGTCGTTTTCGAAATGTTTTTGAGATTGATTGTAACACCGGTTTATTGGCCTCGTATTGCGTCGTTTCATGAGCTAAAATTTTTGTTTGCCTGTGTTGAAAATGATGGGTCTTTAACAAAATTTTTTTGTTTAGTTTTTGTCTTTTTTTAAAAATGTGGACTTAAGGGTTTCTGCTCAGGTATTTTCAGCTTTGTTTCCGCTTGCATAATTTTTGTCTGTTATTTGTTTTACTTTCTATTGTTTTGATATGTTTTTCGAAACTCATTCTGTTCATTTTGATACATGTACTTTTTTGATACTGATCGATGTAGCGGCTTTTTTGCTTCGTATCGCAAGTGGTGGGAAGCTTGGCTTCGCCTTAGTTATTTATATTTTAGTTTTTGTCTGATTCTAAACTTATTATTACTCTGAAGGAGGTACTCATTTTACTCTGAAAAACTCGGAGCCACAATGAAACAATAATGATTAATAAATAATTATTTTATCTGATCACAAAAGTTCAAAGAAAAGATCCGAGTTTTTTTTTCAACAAATGATTATTGATGTGTTCTGAGGTTGGCAAATTAGCTTTCATCGGTTCCAAGCGTAATAGAGAATAGATTGATTGTGGTCAGTCGTCAAAATAATTTTTCATAAAATTATGAAAATTGCTGCGTGTTTTCAATTTTATCTTTATATCTATCTTCTCTTTATAGTTTTTTAATGGCATATTTTCGTACTCAATAGGCACAAGGGTTAAGAAATACCACAGAGGACATTTGTGAAGAGTCGTTACGGCAATGACATTTTTTTAAAAGAATTTTCTAACATTCTTATTTTTAAATGTTGGATTTTTTTTTTGAAATCAATCAACTGTTCGAACAGCAGTATGAACTCGGTTCAACTTCAATGCTAGACAGTACTTGTCCGACTTCTTCGAGGTCTAGATTTCTTCCAGATATGGAACAGGGTCTTCTTTCCCCATTGATTAGGCTTTGCCGGTTCCCAAAGCTGTGGCTTCGCTGTTGGTAGATAGGGACAGTAGGAATCTCGTTAATCCATTCATGCGCGTCACTTATTAGATTACGAGGCATTCGGCTATTCTTTTTTTAACTTTGAATTCAGATGAATCTTATGAAATACAGCATCAGTATTATAATTACAATCTATGATAAAGTCTGTTTTCTGAGTTTTTGAGTTTCATAAGTTTTGAACATCGATTTAGGGAAGTTGTTCAGTTGGGTTTGGTCGATCCTCTTTTTCATGTCTTACTCGAACACCAGGCGCCGTTTCCGGTTTGTCCTGATGGTTTCGTCTTGCTTCATGGAGTCTTGCAGTAGATCTTTTGAATTGTCCTAGTAATCTATTAGTCAGGTTTAACGTCTTCAACTTCAACAGCTCTAGGTTTGACATGCTGAGTTTAAGCTCTGATGTCATGAGCTCAGCATTTTTTGTTAAGACGATTCCTCTGAAGCTGACTACTATGGGAATCACACTCGCTTCAGTTTTCCCCGGCATACTCGTCATTACTTCCTTCATGAGGTCTTCTGTGTTTTTTTTCTCGCTTTTTCCTATACGCTGCCATCATGCCTTCCTCGTCACTGTCTGATGCCACTTCAACGTCAATGATTGCTGCCGTTTTCTTATGAGCTAGCATGGATCCGGCTTCAGACCTTTTTGCTTGGAGGTTCCACATCGAAGAGATGCTTCACGTATGGTTTTTGGCATTTTCCGGTCAAGGTTCTCTCAAGGAACATACATAACTTGTCGTGTCTCTTGGTTCAGGCACTCCAGTTCTTAGGAAATTTCTGTACAATGTAGTTCATGCTCTACTGGCTCATGCCACCCGCTTCGCAGCCAGTGCTACCGAATATGGTGTATCTTCGTCGGCGGTGTTTAGTCATTATTGATTTAGATCATGTTTTGAGGGCCCTAATGTAGTCTGCACCGGACATCAGTTTAGTCCAGTTAATGATCCATCTGGCTGTATTAGCACTGTTAGTCTGGATGCTGAGATGTTGTCCATCTACAGTATTTTGCATCTTAGATCTCCAGTATTCGTCTTCATCTCTTTTGGCTACGATTTCAATGTTCTGCGCTGCCTGGGTCCCACACTGAACATTCCTCTTTTTCCTTAGTTTTTGTATCATGGTTAACATGCTCTTCACGCCGGAACCTCCATCTCTTACATAAGCATGGGTTATAGCTGTCGCTAGATCCTTCGGGAGCGTGGTCCTATTCTTAACAATGAAGCGGATAAGCATGTCCATCTTACGTAGGGCCTTCATGCACGAGTTAGCAAAGGTGCTCTGATGGTAGATCTTCGGTTGGACAAAAGCAGTTAACAGATAAATTTTTTGCTGCGACCTTAGCGGCGCACTACTGATCTTTTTCCTGGTGTTCTTCATTTTTCCGAAAGTATTGCAAATCTTCACACCATGTCAGTTGAAATCCACTCCTAGGTAGCGGCGCACTGTTTCCTTAAATTCTAGCTGATTCATGACTCCTACTTTTGGCACAAGCTGATCTTTTATTCTGCGACTGATATTCTCTTTGGGCATACTCGACGAACAAATGAGTCTGGACTTCTTAGCAGTTATCGGGAGTCCTAACTTCTCTGCCCCGTCCTCGACTCCTTGGAGAACTATCTGTAGGGAGCGTAGACCTTCTGACGCTAGTAGATTGTCTGCATATGCTATAGTGTTCAATGTTCTGCCGTCTTCTTTAAGTCGGATGATCCTTATGAAATACAACATCAGTATCATATTTACACTCTATGATAAAGTCTATTTTCTGAGTTTTTGAGTTTCATAAGTTTTGAACATCGATTTAGGGAAGTTGTTCGGTTGGGTTTGGTCGATCCTCTATTTCATGTCTCATTCGAAAACCAGGCGCCGTTTCCGGTTTGTCCTGGCGTTTTCGTCTTGCTTCATGGAGTCTGGCAGTAGATCTTTTGAATTGTCCTAGTATTCCATTAGTCAGGTTTAACGTCTTCAACACCAACAGCTCTAGGTTTGACATACTGAGTTTCAGCTCTGATGTCATGAGCTCAGCATTTTTTGTTAAGACGATTCCTCTGAAGCTGACTTCTATGGGAATCACACTCGCTTCAGTTTTCCCTGACAGACTCGTCATTTCTTCCTTCATGAGGTCTTCTCTGTTTTTTTTTCTCACTATTTCCTATACGCTGCCATCATGCCTTCCTCGTCACTGTCTGATGCCACTTTAACGTCAATGATTGCTGCCTTTTTCTTATGAGCTAGCATGGATCTGGCTTCAGACCTTTTTGCTTGGAGGTTCCACATCGAAGGGATGCTTCACGTATGGTTTTTTGGCATTTTCCGGTCAAGGTTTTCTCAAGGAACATACATAACTTGTCGTGTCTCTTGGTTCAGGCACTCCAGGTCTTAGGAAATTTCTGTACAATGTAGTTCATGCTCTCCTGGCTCATGCCACCCGCTTCGCAGCCAGTGGTACCGACTCTGGTGTATCTTCGTCGGCGGTGTTTAGTCATTATTGATTTGCTTCGTAATGCTAAGAGATTAAGTTCGGGAATTTTAACCCGATGCTCTTTCAGTTTTGAAAAAATCTATTCAAGAGTTTGGCCTTAGCCTGTCCGTTAGAATCGACTAACTCACGTGCAAATGCTGTTCACGCGAAAACTTTTCCCGCTTCAGTCCTCAAAGTTATCATTTGAGTACTTGCTACTTCCACCAAGATCTGCTCCATTGGCCGCTTCGAGCATATACTCACTTATACCCCTTTTGCGCAACCAATGCGTCCTCCTACATATGAACATACTTTAAGACCAGTTGTAAACCAGTCCTAAGCATCCAGCCGAAGCCAGAATCTGATGTTCATGGTCAGGTATAGGCCACGAGCTCTGCTACCATCAATTTTCAGGGCTTGTTGATCCGGAAGGTGAGTTGATACACATTCCTTAGCGGCTTTCAACTTACATGACCACCGTCCTGCTGTCAATATCAATCAACACATTTTGTGGTGACTCATGAGCAACTAGTTAGGCGCCTTAACCAATTTTTTTGGTTAATCCCACATCGCCTGTTCTGCTTACCAAAAGCGGCCCACAAAAAGCTCGCATTTTAAGTTCAAGTGCAATTAAGTCACAAGAACGTCTCACCGATTTATAGTTTGAGAATAGGTGAAGGATAAATTTTCCCCAGTCCTCTAATCATTCGCTTTAACCGATGGAATTGCACGGCGAAGATTTTTCAATCTTGTTTAAGCGTTTGGTATCCTGAAGGAAACTTTAGAGAAAACCAGCTACTAGATGGTTCGATTAGTCTTTCGCCCTATGCTGGGGTCAGACGATCGATTTGCACGTCAGAACCGCTTCGGGCTTCCACCATGGTTTCCCGTGGCTTCACCCTGCCCAAGCATAGATCACCATCTTTCGGGTCGTGTGCTACTTGCTCGGGATCAATCATGTTGCAGGAACATAACAGTCCGTGGTTGCGAGACATCGCTTTAACGCTTTGAGTTCCATATCTTCCATATCGAAAGAAGTGCGGTTCCATACTTCATCGCTAGCACTGCTTACTTCAAAAAACTTAAATTTTCGCTAAGCAATTTGTTCCATGAAACAACTTGAAGCATTGCAAGGTTTCATTAATTGAATAGCCTGCTTAAAAAACTGAAATTTCAATGAACCGATTCGTTCTATGAAATGACTTGAAGTATCTCAAAATTTCATTGCTTGAATAGTTTTCACATACCTTATAATTTTGTATCGGTTTTTGAAACTTTTTTCCTATTTTTTTGTTGATTTGTTTTGACTTGTTCTCAATTTGTTTGTTTTCTTGTTCTACTCAAGGAACAGTTACTTACTCTAGTCAGAAATAGAAGTTAAAAATTTTGTAAATATGAATTTAGGCTTCTGTGAAGAGGCGAAGCAGTAAAAAAAAGTTTGCCAAATCGGGTAACCCACCGGCTACTAGTGAACAGACTGACACACGTAATAGTACAGCCAGCCTCGCAGAAACTCAGGGATCTCCAGCACAAAATCATGAATTAATATCTCCACCAGTTAGTGGATTGGGAGATCACGAACGAGTAGGACCAGTTGGGTCCGTCGAGGCAGTGGGGGGAGGAGGGGGCGAGCAGTTTGGGGTTTTGCTGACTGTAGTCACAGGCTCGTCAGTGGACAGGATAGCACAAATGGGGGATTCAGAAGTGGTGACTGAAGCTTATGACTCTCTCACGAAACTATTTCCAGAACAGGTTTGTATCCAAATGTTATGACAGTTTCTAGAAACAAAATGGACATTGAAATTGCTCTTCTGCAGTACTTAATTAGCCAGGTCCAAAATCATTTGGTTGGGGGCGTTATACGTTTTTGGACAAAAAGAGTTTCATTGCGGGGGGTTCAAAAGTATTAGGGGTTTCCACAACTTGGGTTGATTTTTATTAAATTCATGTTGAAATTGAGCCAAATTTTTTCTTGAACATTGATATGAAGTTTGAGTAATTTAATGCAAACAGCATTTTTCTGCGATATGAAAATAGTGATCAAAGCGTCGTTTTTCTAAAATTTTGGGTGCTCGAATAGTGGTTGGGGTCTATGAAGAAGTTGACTTGTGTTGCATGAGGGGGGTGGGGCGGTTGTTCTCGACAATTACTTATGAAATACATATCCTATCCAGTGCTGAATTTCTTTTAAAAATGATTAACTTCTGCAATAAAATCCCATCTTGGAATAATATAGTTCTTTATATGGAAATTCTGCTCCGGGAAATGCAACCTCATTGCTAAATGATGGATATATGAAATTTCATCCCAGTTTCCGACATGCACTCTTTTGGTTCCATTAGAAGACTTAGATAAGGTTATTGACCTCAACTGTGAAATTAAAAACCATTACCATGTCTGTTTACGGTTTCGATTAGCAAGCATTGTATAGACTTCAGATTTATAAAATTTTTAAACCAAATCTTTGGAGCCATTTGGGCAACTCTGCAATTTCGTTTACAACAGACTTTTTTTGAGAAACAAGACTTCATTTTATCTGTTATCTACAAAATCACTTTTTTCTGCATTTTAAATGCCTCTTTTTATCGAAATAACTAGTTATGTTGGTTGCAAATTTAACAATTCAGATTTGGTTTTTCAGTCTTTTATATTTTTAAAACTTAATTCAGTGTAAAAAGTTTCGGCTCCTAATTTATTCGGCTCATTCGTCCAATATTGTCGTTTGATGGCAAAAAAAGGTTTCTTGTACGTGCGTTTGAGGGACTTAGAATTTTGATTTTAAAAATGCTTCCTAGCTTAAAGTTTTCTGTATGACATTTTTTCGGGCCAGTTCTTATCGATGCCGATGCTTTCTAGTGGGTAAGGCCGGGGGGGGGGGATGAAATAACTTAAGAAGAGCAAGTTTTGTAACTGTTTTGTGTTGCGTTAGCGTGTGCCCTACCCGGAGGACTGGTTTGTGTCCAGGTGGGCCTCCACTGAACATATCAACATGTCTTACTCCTTCGTCAAGTGTGGCTCCTCTGGGGTCGACTACGACAGACTCTCACAGCCACTTAACGACAGAATATTCTTCGCCGGAGAGGTCAGTCCTTCTGTGTCCCTTAATGCAGCTAGTATGACTCATACTACTCGATGGAGAGAATTTTTTGTTATTTAAAGAAATATTACCTTGATGCAAAAATTATTCGAGTAGTTTGTGCAAAACGAGCGAGCGCAAGTTTCATATGTCATACTCAGATTAAATTAATGTAATCTTAGGTAAAATTTATCTATTCATGTATCCGCTTTAAACATTATAAGCCAAATAATCAGCATTTTAGTATGTCATTTTGAAATTAATTGGGTAGTTCAAAACTGGCTTGTTTGAAGTGTTAGCTTTAGGATCCGGATTTTGAAATGGTGACTGAATTTTTAGAATGTCAAAAAGAGATGTAATATTGAGGGTATTCGGAAGTCGTCCTTCGTCTAAATCTGTGTTCCTTAAAAGTATCTCAAGCGTCTCTTATGTTTCAGTGTACGAACAGGGCATACCCTCAGACAGTGACTGGTGCTTATTTGAGTGGGGTGAGAGAGGCTGCTAATATTGTGACCTGAAACACACTTGGAAATGCAGACAACGAAACGAATGCAAACAACAGTTTAGTTTGTTCACAAATTCAAGTCCATGACAACACCAGCTTTACAATATACCCAAAAAGCCATATCTAAACCATTCTATAAGTGAAAAGTATAATAAATCATAATATAATTGTGTCTGTGTTGTGTTCAACTAATTTTGAATGTCAAATATCCTAAAATCGAAAATAATATATTTACATAATTACTTCATCATCCAATGTTTATTTTCATTTTAAAAGTATAAATGAACGAAGTGTGTTTTTTATTTAGTTTGTGTTGTGTCAGTGAATTGTGAAGACACTTATTTTTTTAAGGAAAAAGTCTGATAAGTTGTTCATGCTGAAATTGGTATTTCGACGTTTGGCTTTTGATACCTTTTGAAAGGTCAATTTATATGCTACTAAAAAAATTGTGTGTGATAAAAGGATCTGAACGAAGAATTAGAAGTTGGCTATATTTGAGAGTCATAGTAAAATGGGCAAATAGGAAAAAAAATTTTGAAAAATTTGTTCTGATTTTTTTTGCAGATTTTTAGATTACCAAAATGGTGCTAAATACTCCAAAAACTAACTTTGCTCGAGTAAAACAAAGGTTTCAGGGCTTAAATAAGCTATTGTAAGCCTGCACGCTGACCTTATTAGTTCGAAGTTCGACCAAAAATCAAAAATTTCAAACATGTTTCTCGACACTGAGAAAAAATATTCGAAATTTATTAATGTCGTTTGAATTATGACTAAAAGGGCTTTAATATGATATATAACTTGACCCATTCCGATGATAACCAGATTTTGCAGGAAATAGTAAAAACGAAATAAAACTTCTCTTGTTTTACAAAAGTGTTGAAATAGTTTTGCAGCCATTGAACCAGTACTCTTTGCGTAATTTCTGATTGACTGGAAAAAGTTGAAAGTGATCGTTTTTCTGGTAGAGATTTAGGCCTAATTTTGACAATTAAATTGCACTCTGTTTTACATTTCAAGCTCAATCCGCTTTTCCGGATAGTTTGAAGCAGCAAGTTGTGTTCGAATAAATGCGTTCTTTTCATTTTTGCTATAAATTTTGAAATTGATTGGTAACTCAGCCGTTTTAAACGTTTTTTTTGTTGAGTTCATTATTACTTTGCCAACGGAACATTGGCTGTGCTTACTCCATAATTGTTCGCATCTAGACATAACTATCAAAAGAAGCAAATGTCTTTCGACGAATTTACAAAGATCATATTCCGTGTGCAAAAATGATGCTTTATTAGCTGAATAACCTCACTTTGGATAAGATTCCATTCTGATATTGATGTTTTTGCCGACATTATAATCATGTAGCTATTGGCGATAAGTTAGTTTTTAGTTAGTTGTGGTTTCAAATTTATCGTTTTAAAGTGTTAATGAACGAAGTGTAGTGCTATTACTTAAAGATTTTTTTAAAGAAACACTGTTAACATTTGTCTACGCGTAATTTTTTATTTTAATGTTTTGACTTTTAATTTATTATGGTCACTTTGAAGGCATATAAGGAAATTGGCGTTTTTGCTCATTTTGAAAGTTTGGAAATTTCTTATTCCTCGAGTTCATTAACACCTTTTCCAACCGTCAATGTATTTGCTAATATTTATTTACTGAAATTTCCGATATTTAATTTTCTGTTTTCACGAATTTGTACTTTTTGATAAATTTGAATAATTATTGATGCATTAATGAATAATACGTTGAAAAACAGCCACTGAAGATCATACGACGGGAGCTATATCTAATTTGTTTATATTTGTTCGGAAAAAGTTCGTGCTCAAAGTTATTTAAAAATTGTTCATAAAGATCTCTTTTCGTTGAAACAGTACTCGCAACGCATCATACAAAAGTGTTACGGAGCCTAGCACAGACAATAACTTAGGAAGGTTAGTGTGTGGTTTTTAGAAACCCTTGAGTGTCATGTAAAATAAATATATTATTCAGAATTAGCAAATAATTTGTCATAGGTTTACTTTTTCAGACATCAAATATGACATGATAACTTAAAATGACTGATTTTTTCTCCCTCCCAAAACCCTTTGAGCCTCTGTGTGACTATGAAGAAAGCGACTCAGAGTCAGAAAACGAGGAATCCACAGAACAACAAAAATCAACCACCCAATCTACAGTGCAATCGAGTGATGATGTATCAGAAATTGATAATGTAGAAGCATCATTAGCTGAACAAAATGTGAGCAAAAAAGAAGACGATAACACGACAGCGATGAGTGATAAAGAAGAAGATGAAGATAGCGACGATGATCAAAGTGATAATGATGACATCACAGAAGAACCATGTGAGAACTCTGGAACCCACAGCTTGCAAAATGTTTCTAATGCTCAACAGACAGAATTAAAAGGGCAATCGGGCTCAGCTTCATTTTCGAAGAAATCTTATTTCCAGCTGAAAGCGAAGGAGATACAGACTTCGTCTAAGGTCAGTAGATAGTTTAAGCTAAATGTACTTTCCTTTTTTAATTAAACCCCCGTCCTGCTCAATGCAGGATCAGCCGTGGCGGAGGGTGATTCATCCATTTCACCACAGTCGGTCCGGTCCTACCTTGAGGATGCGGATGACACTGGGACACCTCCAACTGTGACCGAAGTGGGGTTCGAACGCATGACCCTCGTGTTGAGAAACGTGTGCCTAATCCACTCAGTCGCGGTTGCTCCCACTTGGCCACTTCCCTTCCCTTCGGTTTCACTTTTTATATCGAATTTTCACTGAGTGTATTTGATAACAATGCAGGCTATATCATTTCTGGTAATACAATTCCGAATGAAACTCGATTCTCAACGTTTTTCAGAGTTAAGTAGATTAATAGCGCCGTAATATAGAATAAAGGGTCAGCTGAAATGTTCGCTTAACTAAAAAACGGCGTGACTGTGACCAACTGAAGAATTTAACAACTGCTTTAATTACTAAAATCCACCAATTTTCTATCAATTTGAAATTAATCCGGGTAGCCTTATTCTCATAGAAAAAGGTTTTGTACAAACTTTGGCATTTATGTTTGAAGTGCCAAATTAACTTTTTCCCCGACCTGCAATTTTTGACAATTAATTTTTCGTTCATGTTATCCGATTTTTACAAAGTTTTGCATGCTTACTACTAAATAGACTGACAAATATATTTGGTCTGCATACTTGACATTGCAAAACCCCTCGTTACAACTTGAAGTTGATTCTTATGTGAGGTGGGGGAAAAGGAAAAGAGCCGCCAATTTGATTTAAGATTGCTCGTTATTTCAGGTGGCGGCTGTTCCCAATTCCTCTCTAGAGATCAGAGACAAGTTGCGTCAGTTGGAGATGATGAAGAACAGTGCGAGGAAGTTGAATCACGAGGCGGTGGTGGAGGAGGACAGAGTGAAGAGACAGCCGGCCAACTGGCAGGCACTGCAGAAGAAGAACGACTGGCTCCTCTATGAGGACGAGCGCAAAAAGGTGACACAACAACACCACATAACACAACTTTCCATATGACTGCTAGTTTTTCGAAGTAGTTGAAGTAATGCACTGCACTGTTCATAAATATGCAGCAGCATTTTTTTGGGCCAGATTGAAGAATGAGTGGGTTCTCATTATTGGTGGGGGTATATCTTGCTGTGTTTTATACTTTTTAACCTGTCTTATAACGTGTTAGCAAGTGTCTTATAACGTGTTAGACTTTATCTCTAAACAACTTTGTTTCTTTCCTTCAACATATTTCGGCTCTGTTTCTTTCACCCCAATCCCCCCACCCCCCCACCTACGCATTGGGGATGGGAGGAAAAAAAGCCCGTATTTTGAGCACGTGATTTTTGTGAGTTATGTTCGATGGGTATAACTCATAGAGTAATTTCGGATAGGGTACACCGTCTGCTCGTCACGCTATCTTATTTTCGGCCGGATAGATTCGTGCAACTTCTTAGTCTAATACCGATCCTAATCTTACTCTTATACTATCTAGTCTCAGGTTGTTTAACTAGTCTCTGCTAGGCTCAATAGATCTAGGGTATACTGGTTTATTGCGGCTGCTGAAGTACTCGGGAGAGTTCAACTAATTTCTAAGTTAAATTCAAATCTCTCTGGTGCTGAAATTACAAGTAATTTCAGCACTTACAAATAAGTGGATTGTTAGTTAGATGGATCATGATTGGTTAATATTAAATACTTTACATTGGTAAAATATCTAATTTATCCAATCATAAAATGTAGTTTAGATCAGGTTCCACCCATCCGGGTTTTACAGAGTTTTTTAGAATAGTTTTTCTGCAATTCGAAAGATGGATGATGGACGTTGGTATTTGGCGAACATCTTATTTCTTCTGGGTTTTCTTATTAGAGAAGTCCCAGATTCAATCATTGTGTCTTCTCAAGACAACGACTGGGTTTTCGCAACAAACTCAAATCTGATTTCAGAATGGTTGGCTATGTCAGGTTTTTCTGTTTCATTGGTGAGAACTTCTTTGTGTTTGACCTTGTCTGGGAATGGCGTGGAGATTGTGCGTGGAGGGGATGCCTGGTTACTCGGATCTGTACGTATACTTGAACATCGAGGTGGTCATTGGTCTAGTTCAATGAAGTCCTTTTCTGCGAAGTCAAGTCGTACTCTAAATCCTTTGAGTTGTGATTGTGGGCGGCGTATTGATTGTAGTTGGCCATTCTTTCTCGAGTGTAGTAGGGTCGTTTTGTCTTTGGATGTTCGTCCTTGGTGTTGTATTCTGATCTATGTATTGCATAATGTAATTTACATTTTATAAAACTTTTATTAGTTTAATATTTTTTAATTATGATTTTAGTTAGTTGTTTTCACAAAAGCTTTTTGTTTTAGTTCAGTTATTTTGAAGAGTTACTCACCCTTGAGTAGCTCTTATTAAAAATAGGAGTGTGGTCACAAAGCGTGGATGTAGCACGGTGGGTTAGGCCGGCTATAGCATGCTCAGGACGTCCTTCCTGGTGGGTTAGGCCAGGAGTGGGAGTATGATTGCATGCGGTTTTTGTGAGAGGTCCTGTTATGTGACAACGTTTTATGTTGGGTTTGTTGTGGTTTTTCTTATGTTTTGTTGGTTGTGTCCTTTTTTCAAAAATCAAATTGTTTGTGGTATGGGTTTGTCTTTCGACTTTTTTGTGTTTTATTATTTCTTTCTTAGACTTTATAATAGTCTTCAAAAGAATAAATTATCCAGTTTTAAACTGGGTTAATCCGGTTTGGGTACCGTTGGTTTCCTTTTCTTAGTCATGCTGTTATGCTATGTGTTGTGGTGTTTAGTAAGCTGCATTGGTTAGTTTTGTTTAGTATATAATTCCTTTCCAACCGGGTTAAAGTAAAGTTTGAAACATGTTATCTTGTGTTAGAGTTATCGAGTGTGAAAGCTTGGAACTGAAATTCATTACTTTAAACAATTCTTCGTGGGCGAGCTGTGCGAGTTTGGATAGAATTTTTATGCGAGTGAATGAAAATATCAAAAGGTTAGTACTGCTTTTGCTTCTTATGAATTTACTACATAGGATTTTAATTTTACTGCTAGTTGTTGGGGGAAATTAAGTTACAAATTTCCATCATTATTAGATTTACTGCTGGTGGGGGAAAAATCTATAAATTAATTTACTGCATTGGTATTATATTTATTTAATTGTTGGTGCAAAAATTTAATAGGGTCTTAAACAGTTTTGAAGAAGTTTGCTTTTTTTTTTTATTTTTCTTTTGTGAATTTTTCAGATGATCTAGGATGAAGGCTAAAATTCTAAAGAAAACATGGATAAAGAATGGTGAGTTTCTAATGTTTGAATTAATTAGTAATATGTATAATTCATACTTACCAGTTAGTCGTCGGGGAAGAAACCGTGGGGGAAAATGTCGTGGATGAGATCTGAAGTTGTTAGTAGTTTGGCTAATATGCGGATGATATTTTTAGTTTGAAGCAGTGGCCAAAGCAATTGAAGTGCCTTAATGGTGGTTAGTTCTTCAGTGCCAACTGCAAATTCATAAGGTGTGTTTTGGATTAGATTATATAATTTGTGGTTGAATTTAGTGTTATGGATGAATTCTAAAATGGGGATTTCTATAGGTTGTACAAACTCGTGTGGGATGAGGAAGGGTCGGGATTCTTCTGCGTTGAAGGTCTTGGTGATGGGACAAAAGATATACATTTGGGTTATGGGATCATAATTTCGAAGAATACCATGAAGGTTAGTATCTTTTATTGCAATATGTGAAGTTAAGAAAGAATGGTGAGGTGTATTTGGAATTGATGAATTGAAAACGATGGTGTGGTTGTCTGGAGGGAGTGTGTAGGTCAAAGTGATTTTGGATGAAACGATAATAAGTATATGTGTGTGTTTGTTTAGTGCGCAACATAATATCGTGTGAGCAGTGCAAATCTCTTTCATGTGGTGCAAGGAAACGAAAGGTTAGTGAAAATATTTGGAAGCGTTCTTTAAAACTTTCGTAGGCTTGCGTGTTTGTTAGTGCTTCTGAGATAATGTGGTCAAACTTGCGATCGAAGATATTCAGTGTAAATACATATGGTGTTTTAATGAAAAATTTCTCGGTGATTTGTGGGTTAGCGAAGCGATCGTCGTCTAAGAATTGATCTTGGTTAGTTCTGATGATGTTATGATTGTAATATTCTAGTGTATATTCATTAGCTCGGGGTGCAGTGTGTGTTTTTAGTGACTTTTTGTATCCAATGTAAGTAAATTGTCTAGGTGTTATTGGTGTAGTGAGTCGATATAGCATGTCCTTATTTCGTTCTATATCGATATGAGTGTTAGATAAAGGTAAGCAAAGGGGATTTGTAAAATGATAATATGAGGTCCAAGGAAGGGTAGGCATTAAAACGTATTCGTCTACAAAGTTACGTGTCTCGTTAGTGTCATGAGGGGTGTTTAAGGTGTATTGTGGAAATGAGGGTAAGGTGATAGCTAAAAATTCTTTTGTGTTAGTGTGTTGTGGATGGTTGATATATTCACGGGCTGTTCCTGGTTTCGCTGGGAAAGGATGGTTGGGGAACTTCCTTTTAAAAGTGCGGTAAGCTCTATTAGTGCTGAGTGAAGATACAGTAGTTGTGGATGATGGTGCTAATGAATCAGTATAATTTGAAGAGGGTGTAGGGGTAGGAGGGTTGGATGAATCTATTGTGGATGAGATTTGGTTTATGGTTGGGGTGTCAAGGTGATAGGATTGTTGTTGTAGGGTAATGAAATTATCTAGTTCTGGGGAGATTCGGGGGGTGTCTGAAGAATGAGATGATTGGTTTGAGTGAAGTGAGGAGTAGGTTGGAGTGACTTGGGAAGCATAAGAGGGTGTAGAATTGGTTGGGTCAGGGTTATTTGGTAGTATGGGTTGAAAAGGGGGTTGGGAAAAATTTAAGGGATTGGTGTGAAAATTATTTGATGGAGATGGTTCAGAGTCGGCAAATTCATCGGGGGTTTCAATATTCGGGTTATTGAGTTGTGAGATGGAGTATAAAACTGAGATGTGTGAATTAGTATCGGAATTCATGCCGGATGTTACATTACTGGATGGGAAATCGGGTGGCGGAAAAGCAAAAAGTGGTATTATTGGGATTGGAGTGGTGAGGTTGGTTGGGTGGGAATTTGATCGGTGTAGGGATCCAAGTTGTCGGCTCATCGTGGGCTAAAAAAATTATTATTTTGAGACTGAAAAGCGGTGGTATGGGGTTGTTCTATAATTTGTTCATAAGTATTTTCATCTTGTGAGTGGTGTGGCATTATATGTTGGATGGGACTTTGTGATATGGTTGGTCTAAAATTATTATGTGTTATGGCTAAATTTCGAAAATTACGTGGGACTAGGGATAATGGATGGTTATGTGGTAGGGGTGGTAACTGTGGTGCTGTTGGTGTTGTGTCTGCATTGTTATGTTCTTCGTCGTATGTGTTCTGTCTTGTTGCTATTTTTGTGTTATATTCTTTTATTTGTGCGTCTAAAAGAATTTTGTTTATAGATGTAGAAAATATTCCAAAAAATCCTGCAAATAGTATGCGTGCTACACTTGCTTGTCTATTGACTTGTGTGTGTATAGCACATGTGTTATAGATTCCTTTTAAGAGTGAAAAAAGAAATCCAATAAAGTTAAACATTGCGTATAAAATAGTTAGTTTTTCTAAGATGTAGTAGGGCCATCCTAGAAAATCAAGAATTTCATTCTTGAGTGTAACAAAGCTAAAAATATTGATAGGTGATATATCTTGGGGACGGTATTTTTCACCGTTTAGATATATATAATCTTTAATGTCTTTAAAATATCCGCTATAGTCTTGCGTATAGATGTCTGCAAATCCTGCGGTTTCGGCAAGTTTGCGTAAGTTTTGGTCAATTGATTGTCTTTGTATTGTGTCCATTTGTGTTAATAATTCCTGGAATTGTTGTGTTCTAATGTGATGTTGAATATCTGATTTTGAGTATATTCCTATTGATTGTACGTCTATATTTGGGT